CTGATGTATCATGTAAAGTTTATATTTTACAGTTTTAGTCTGATGTATCATGTAAAGTTTATATTTTACAGTTTTAGTCTGATGTATCATGTAAAGTTTATATTTTACAGTTTTAGTCTGATGTATCATGTAAAGTTTTTTATCTGGCGTTTCATCCTGTCACCCTCCTCAGAGCAGCGACCACGCTCTCATCGCTCCGGGTTTCATAAATTCTGCTGTCAGTCATCCTGATGTGCCCTTTCTGCCTCTCCTCCCTTCATCACATCTATCTGCTCATTAATATTCATGAGCCAGGGGGCGGAGCCTCGCCGCTCCCTGCAGAAGGAACTCCGTATGCATCACAGCAGAATCTTTGTTTCATTTATATTCATCAGATTTTAACACGCAGAGAAGCCGGTGGGGGCGGGGCCGGGGGATGAGGTGAAAGGTCACGAGCATCTGAAACGAGGCTCGCTCTGTGACATTAAGGCTGGTTTCCATGGTAACAGATGTGATGGAGTTTCAGCTTCCCGGAGATGAAATTTGTTCTGTAAATAAAGCTGCAGCTGCTTCAGAGGAAACATTCAGACTGATAAAAACTGAAGTTTGGACGGAGCAGGAAGTTAAAGCTGGATTTAATTTRGTTTTATTAGTCAGATGTTTTAGTCCATCATCATAAAGAGCAGATTATTCTGCATCTTGACTCTGAATCACAAAGCTGTCAGTCTTTTTGAGTTTTTTTTCTCTTGTCTGACAGCTGCCTTCAGTCAGAAGAGACAAATCCAGCTTCCTGACAGATCTGTGGAAACAGGAAGCAGTTTTCTGTCTTCGTCTCTGCTTCAGGACGAAGACGATGTTCGGTCCAAACCCTGGACCGTCACTCAGCTTCACCACAACTTCACARCCTTTGATTCAGGTCTGAGAAACCAGCCGCCAATAAAACCATTATTACTGCGTGAGAGTCTAATTAGATCATGTTGGCGTTGTTAAATTAAAACAAAAAACTTCTAATGTGAAAATATGATTTAAAATGTGCAACAACAGGCAGCAGTAAATAAAAGCAACAGTGATGGTTTGTTGACCTGCAGCAGGAAACGGTTTATGTTCTAAAGTCTTCAGCTTTTACAGTTTAATGAATTTATGACTTAATAAATATATATTTATTTTCAGTACCAGTAAAATACACAGAAATATTTCATTATTAAATGTTTTTTTACTCTAAACTGAATAAAAGGATGTTTGTTAAAAGCAGAACCAAAGCAGCAGCGCCTGAAGGAATGCATGTCGCCCGCCGCACTGCGGACTGGGGTTGGGCAATATTGGGAAAAAAATTAATCACCATTAATTGTGMTATTTAGCTGATAACGATTAATTTGATGATTAATAACCTGGACATCCTTATGTCCTGGTCACATGACCAATTTAGTGGGAAAGATTTGCTCTTCGTAAAAATCTGTTCCAAATTGTGACAAAATTACGGACCTTGATAGATAAATAAATAGAACTTTTTTTAATGTTTGTCATATTTGAAGCAGAGAGGAGCAGCGAGCTGACTGACTGCTGGCATTAATCACATTCATCATCAAACAAAAAATAATCGACTAATGTTTTTCTGATGATTAATCACACGATACGATTAAGCCCAACCCTACTGCAGACCACCGGTCTGAACAAAGAGCCCTCAGAGGGCATGCTGAGAATGACTCCCAGCTACTACCACTCACACTTTCAGCTCAGGATCTGCCTCTGTGTCGGCCATCTTGAATCAGAAATCTGACCAATGCTTCAAGAGATATTTTGCTGACAGGCATGTCAAGAGAAATTTAAAACTAAATAAGAGGAACTGCAGATTCTTTTAGCTGTAAAAACGTCTGTGGTTCTCCTTCCTTCTTTTCATGCAAAGAGGCACCAAAATAAGACCTGAAACCGTCCCCCGTCTGTCCAACTGAGACAGGACGCTCATGTTTCTGATGTTAAACTCAGAAGAATGTTACAGGRAACAGTTTAACAAAATAAAAGGCTTTTTGAGGCAAAAATCTACAAACTTTAAAGGTTAAAGATGACCCAAAGTTTCAGCAGATTTAATCTGAAACTCAGAAAACTGAGCCCTGATGACTTTTCTTTGATAAATAAAGGAGAGGCAGACTTACTGAGTGGGATCACATGAGGACCTGGACCCCAGAGGAACAAACTCCTCACAGTCACAATCACTTCTGCTCTTCCTCTTTCAGCTCTTTCACTTCCTCTTTCATGACACTTTATACTCAAATCTGTTGTTTTCTTCTTCTCCATCATCTTTTTCTACCTCTACTTCCTACCTCGTCCTCCTCATGGCTGCCTTGCTCCTGGGTCCCCCGGCACCGACCCGACAACCTGCCAGCCTCCTCCTCTCAGCTCCCGTTAGCCGTTGCCGAGGCGGCAGACATGGCAGCGATCCCTGCGGTAACAGCYGACAGCACCCTCTGCTCGATAAAACCACAGCTGCTCCTCCTCCTGCTGCTGTCGACGTTTTTATACGTCCAGATCCGCCTCTCCTCCTCTCCTCTCCATCACCACCTCCTCTCTCTCCTCCTGCTCTTTTGTTCACTGCTGGTTTGTGATTTCACTCAAACATTCAGCTGATTCTGTTACAACCGTGTTGAAAAAGACAGAAGCAGCTCGTTCATGCTGTGAACTAATGGTAGTTTCAGGAACACTGGTTTCTTTTTTTTGTTGCAGAAATGTTCTTCAAAAAGTTAGTTTTGGTCACTGAAGCTTGTATCCTCTAAATTCTGCTGACACTAAATCACAACAATCAGCAAATTTTCACTGAAAGTCTCACTGATATGGTTGGTTAGATGATTATTTAGTCACTTGGTCAGTCACTAGGGTCAAGGTTGGTTGGTGGGTCATTAGAGTAGAGGTGGTTGGTTGGTCACTAGGGTCAAATGGTTGGTTGGTCAATAGGGTCAAATGGTTGGTTGGTCGCTAGGGTTAAGTTGGTTGGTTGGTCATTAGAGTCAAAGATGGTTGGTTGGTCACTAGCRTTGAATGGTTGGTTGGTCACTTGGGTTGAGTTGGTTTGTTGGTCACTAAGGTCGAAGATGGTTGGTTGGTCACTAGGGTTGAGTTGGTTTGTTGGTCATTAGGGTCAAATGGTTGGTTGGTCATTAGGGTTAAGTTGGTTGGTTGGTCAGAATCAACTATGGTTGTTTGGTCACTAGCATCAAATGGTTGTTTGGTCACTAGGGTCGAATGGTTATTTGGTCATTAGAGTCAAAGATGGTTGGTTGGTCACTAGGGTTGAGTTGGTTTGTTGGTCACTAACTTTGAATTGGTTGGTTGGTCATTAGAATCAAAAATGTTTGGTTGGTCACTAAGGTCAAATGGTTGGTTGGTTGGCCACTAGGGTTGAGTTGGTTTGTTGGTCACTAGGGTCAAGTGGTTGGTTGGTCATTAGGGTTAAGTTGGTTGGTTGGTCATTAGAGTCAAGGATGGTTGGTTGGTCACTAAGGTCGAATGGTTGTTTGGTCATTAGAGTCAAAGATGGTTGGTTGGTCACTAGGGTTGAGTTGGTTGGTGGGTCATTAGAGTCAAGGATGGTTGGTTGGTCACTAGTGTCAAATGGTTGGTTGGTCACTAAGGTCGAATGGTTGTTTGGTCATTAGTCAAAAATGGTTGGTTGGTCACTAGGGTTGAGTTGGTTTGTTGGTCACTAGCTTTGAATTGGTTGGTTGGTCATTAGAATCAAAAATGTTTGGTTGCTCACTAAGGTCAAATAGTTGGTTGGTTGGTCACTAGGGTTAAGTTGGTTTGCTGGTCACTAGGGTTGAGTTAGTTGGTTGGTCACTAGCGTTGAATGGTTGGTTGGTCACTAGGKTTCAGTTGGTCGGTCGGTCATTGGGTGGAGGTTAGGTGGTGGTTTGGTAGAGAAAAGTAGGTAGAGTCTGGCATGAGGTGAAGGTCAGTGGTTTAGTCAGTTGGTCAGTAGGCAGGTTGATCAGGGGTCCAACGTCAGTTAAATAATGGGCCAGAACCACAGACATGAAGCCACATGGTCTGGATTAAAAAGGTCTGAATCGGATGATGAGGAACCATGACATTTGACTTCTGAACAAGATATTCAAGTAAACAGGTTTGAAATAAATGATGAATATTTGTCTCAAATCCTTTTTTTTACACAGAAATGTCCCAAACTAAAATAAAACAGAAACTAAATGACTATGAGCAGAGCCAGTTCAGTCAATTCTGATTTAATAAAAAGTTCATGATCAGTTAAAAACAAAATTTAAAATCAGAGACTTATAATATGAAGAATAACAATGTAAATGTTTTGTTGTGACACTGGTTACATTACTTCCTGCTTTCTGTTTAGTATTTTAAGAGATTGCTTTAAACTAAAAAAATGTGATGAAACTAGAGTTAAGAGTTTTTTTGTTGCCGTTCTTCAGCATTTTAAATCTCATAAAAACCTGTTAAAGTTTTAAACTTTAAGACTTGTTTGATGGAAACTTTAGGTTTGTATCTCTGGCTGCTTCTGCTGGGGTCCAATGACACAGAGCTGCATTAATATCTGTAATCTTCATTCGGAATCACTGAATAGTTTCTTACGACACGTTTGAATGATTCATAACTTTTACACCACAGATTCACAGTTTCAGTTTTGTATTTCTGCTGTTTCTGCTGAATGTTTTTCTCTGTTTTGGTTTGTTTTAAAGCTTCAGGAAGAGAAACTTCTCCTTATGGAAAAGGAAGTTGAACCGTAGCAATGTTGTAAAGGAGACTGGGCCGAACTTCCTCCACAACCACACAAGCATGAGGTTGTTTGTTTAACACCAAACAAAGATTCATGTTTGGTTCCATCTGAAGGTTTCTGAGTTTCAGGAGTCAATCCTTTCAGATACATACAATCAGTGTTACCATCTGAGCTCTTTAAGAAGTGAAAATCCTGGTGTGGAAACGTGACGGAGATCTGACTCGTTAGCCTCAAATTAATTCCATCTCCAGTGTTTGTGTCGTTAGACGTTGACACATTCAGGAGGCTGCGTTTCATTTCTGCAGCTCTGTTTGAAATGATGAACGACTCGGAGTCACAGCTCATATCCTCCGTCACTAATTAACACTAATTTACTGGGCATTCCTGCACCCTGATTTCTGTCTGTCAGGCTCAGGGAGGCGTGGGCCGGTCAGCAGAGACGTTCTGATGTACGACATGAGAGCTGGGTTCTAACAGTGGCAAAGAAACAGAACAGAAGATTTGTCCGGGGTTTCTTTCTGAATGAGAATCACACAGAAAGTTTCAGGCTGAGGGTGAAAAWCTGCTGGAGGCTGGAACCATCGGGACCATCATCCCGTCAGACTCAGATTATCTCGTCTCACAGCTGGTMTCTGCTCAGAACAGAACCCAAACAACAATCATGACTCGGTGTCAGGTCTGTGTTTAAACTCTGACAAAGATCCTTCATGAACTAAAACTCTGACTTCATCACTTCTGTTTCCAGAGAAATGAGAGTCTAACGGTCCCTGTAGACCATTTATAAGTYAGATTACAGCACCACGTCTTTAATAACCCTCACAGGGTTACAACCGTGATCCACCATCAACCACCAATCAGAACCAGGCTGGATCGAGGTAAACTTAGAAAACCTGTCAAGTCTTTTAGTACTCCAGAGTTCCTGGTCTCAGGAACCAGCTTTGGTAACCCAGGGTCAGAGCACCAAGACCCTCGTCTTCGACTGTAGACCTGACCCGTACGGTCCCTGCAGCAGGTTCAGGCCTACACAGAGGCAAACCCACGTAGCTTTGGACTGAGTCCAGCTAAGTCTGATGGGTAGAACACAAGCTGTGTTTCCATTACAAATGTGCGCAAAACTTTGTCGATATTCTGTTAATGTGGAAAAATACAGTTTCACAACTGCAGTGTTT